TTTATCTATCACCTTGGTAGAATAGTGTGCTTCTTGTGTACCTACCTCCTATATATACCTACTTGGTAGAACACGGTGTGCTTCTTGCGTACCTACCTCCTATATCTATCACCTTGGTAGAACACAGTGTGCTCCTTGTGTACCTACCTCCTATATCTATCACCCTGGTAGAACACAGTGTGCTTTCTGTGTACCTACCTCCTATATCTACCACCTTGATAGAACACGGTGTGCTTCTTGTGTACCTACCTCCTATATCTATCACTTTGGTAGAACACAGTGTGCTTCTTGTGTACATACCTCCTAAATCTATCACCTTGGTAGAACACAGTGTGCTTCTTTTGTACCTACCTCCTATATCTATCACACTGGTAGAACACAGTGTGTTTCTTGTGTTCCTACCTCCTATATCTATAACCTTGGTAGAACAGTGTGTTATTTGTGTATCTACTTCTATATCTATCACCCTGGTAGAACACAGTGTGCTTTCTGTGTACCTGCCTCCTATATCTACCACCTTGGTAGAACATGGTGTGCTTCTTGTGTACCTACCTCCTATATCTACCACCTTGGTAGAACATGGTGTGCTTCTTGTGTACCTACCTCCTATATCTACCACCTTGATAGAACACGGTGTGCTTCTTGTGTACCTACCTCATATCTATCACCCTGGTAGAACACAGTGTGTTTCTTGTGTACCTACCTCCTATATCCATAACCTTGGTAGAACACAGTGTGCTTGTAGTGTACCTACCTCCTATATCTATCACTTTGGTAGAACAGTGTGCTCCTTGTGTACCTACCTCCTATATCTATCACCTTGGTAGAACACGGTGTGCTTCTTGTGTACCTACCTCCTATATCTAACACCTTGGTAGAACAGTGTGCTTCTTGTGTACCTACCACCTATATCTACCACCTTGGTAGAACAGTGTGCTTCTTGTATCTACGACCTATATCTACCACATTGGTAGAACAGTGTGCTTCTTGTGTACCTTCCTCCTATATCTATAACCTTGGTAGAACAGTGTGTTATTTGTGTATCTACTTCTATATCTATCACCCTGGTAGAACACAGGGTGCTTTCTGTGTACCTACCTCCTATATCTACCTCCTTGGTAGAACACAGTGTGCTTCTTGTGTACCTACCTCCTATATCTATCACACTGGTAGAACACAGTGTGTTTCTTGTGTACCTACCTCCTATATCTATAACCTTGGTAGAACACAGTGTGCTTGTTGTGTACCTACCTCCTATATCTATCACACTGGTAGAACACAGTGAGTTTCTTGTGTACCTACCTCCTATATCTATAGCCTTGGTAGAACACAGTGTGCTTGTTGTGTACCTACCTCCTATATCTATCACTTTAGTAGAACAGTGTGCTTCCTGTGTACCTACCACCTCCTATATCTATAGCCTTGGTAGACAGTGTGCTTCTTGTGTACCTACCTCCTATATCTATAACCTTGGTAGAACAGTGTGTTATTTGTGTATCTACTTCCTATATCTATCATATTGGTGTTTCCTTCCTCCTATATCTATCATCTTGGTAGAGCAGTGTGCTTCTTATGTGCCTACCTCCTATATCTACCACCTTGGTAGAACAGTGTGCTTCTTGTTTCTCTACCTCCTATATCTATCACCTTGGTATAACAGTGTTCTTCTTGTGTTTCCTTCCTCCTATATCTATCATCTTGGTAGAGCAGTGTGCTTCTTGTGTACCTACCTCCTATATCTATCACCTTGGTAGAACAGTGTGCTTCTTGTGTATCTACCTCCTATATCTATCATCTTTGTAGAGCAGTGTGCTTCTTGTGTACCTACCTCCTATATCTATCACCTTGGTAGAACACAGTGTGCTTCTTGTGTACCTACCTCCTATATCTATCACCTTGGTAGAACACAGTGTGCTTCTTGTGTACCTACCTCCTATATCTATCACCTTGGTAGAACACAGTGTGCTTCTTGTGTACCTACCTCCTATATCTATCACCTTGGTAGAACACAGTGTGCTTCTTGTGTACCTACCTCCTATATCTATCACCTTGGTAGAACACAGTGTGCTTCTTGTGTACCTACCTCCTATATCTATCACCTTGGTAGAACACAGTGTGCTTCTTGTGTACCTACCTCCTATATCTATCACCTTGGTAGAACACAGTGTGCTTCTTGTGTACCTACCTCCTATATCTATCACCTTGGTAGAACACAGTGTGCTTCTTGTGTACCTACCTCCTATATCTATCACCTTGGTAGAACACAGTGTGCTTCTTGTGTACCTACCTCCTATATCTATCACCTTGGTAGAACACAGTGTGCTTCTTGTGTACCTACCTCCTATATCTATCACCTTGGTAGAACAGTGTGCTTCTTGTGTACCTACCTCCTATATCTATAACCTTGGTAGAACACAGTGTGCTTGTTGTGTACCTACCTCCTATATCTATCACTTTGGTAGAACAGTGTGCTTCTTGTGTACCTACCTCCTATATCTATAACCTTGGTAGAACACAGTGTGCTTGTTGTGTACCTACCTCCTATAACTATCACTTTGGTAGAACAAAGTGTGCTTCTTGTGTACCTACCTCCTATATCTATAACCCTGGTAGAACACAGTGTGCTTCTTGTGTACCTACCTCCTATATCTTTCACCTTGGTAGAACAGTATGCTTCTTGTGTACCTACCTCCTATATCTAACACCTTGGTAGAACACAGTGTGATCCTTTTGTACCTACCTCCTATATCTATCACTTTGGTAGAACAGTGTGCTTCTTGTGTACCTACCTCCTATATCTATCACCTTGATAGAACACGGTGTGCTTCTTGTGAACCTACCTCCTATATCTACCACCTTGGTAGAACACGGTGTGCTTTTTGCGTACCTATCTCCTATATCTATCACCTTGGTAGAACAGTGTGCTTCTTGTGTACCTACCTCCTATATCTATCACCTTGGTAGAACACGATGTGCTTCTTGTGTACCTACCTCCTGTATCTATCATCTTGATAGAACAGTGTGTTATTTGTATATCTACTTCTATATCTATCACCCTGGTAGAGCACAGTGTGTTTCTTGTGTACCTACCTCCTATATCTATCACCTTGGTAGAACACGGTGTGCTTCTTGTGAACCTACCTCCTATATTGATCACCTTGGTAGAAAACTGTGTGTGTACCTACCTCCTATATCTATAACCTATACCTCCTATATCTATCAGTGCTTCTTGTGTATCTACCTCCTATATCTATCGCCTTGGTAGAAAACTGTGTGTTTCTTGTGTACCTACCTCCTGTATCTATCACCTTGGTAGAACAGTGAGTTTCTGGTTTACCTAGCTCCTATAGCTATCACCATGGAAGAACATGGTTTGCTTCTTGTGTACCTACCTCCCATTGTGGAGCTATCTCCCAGGTAGAAGACAGACTGTATATCTGGTCTACTTATATATCTACCTCCAATTATGGATCTATCCCCCTGGTAGCAGACACTGTGCATCTGGTTTACCTACCTCCCATTGTTGAGCTATCTTCCTGGTAGAAGACAGACTGTGTATCAGGTCTACCTATATAGCTACCTCAAATTATGGATCTATCCCCCTGGTAGAAGACACTGTGCATCTGTTTTACCTACCTCCCATTGTGGAGCGATCTTCCTGGTAGAAGACGGACTGTGTATCTGGTCTACCTATATAGCTACCTCCAATTATGGATCTATGCCCCTGGTAGAAGACACTGTATCTGGTTTACCTACCTCCCATTGTTGGGCTATCGCCCTGGTAGAAGACACTGTATCTGGTTTACCTACCTCCCATTGTTGGGCTATCGCCCTGGTAGAAGACACTGTATCTGGTTTACCTACCTCCCATTGTGGGGCTATCCCCCTGGTAAAAGACACTGTGTATCTGGTTTACCTACCTCTCATTGTGGGGCTATCCCCCTGGTAGAAGACACTGTATCTGGTTTACCTACCTCCCATTGTGGATCCATTGCCGTAGTAGAAGACACTGTTTCTGGTTTACCTACCTCCCATTGTGGGGCTATCGCCCTGGTAGAAGACACTGTATTTGGTTTACCTACCTCCCATTGTGGCGCTATACCCCTGGTAGAAGACACTGTATCTGGTTTACTTACCCCCCATTGTTGGGCTATTGCCCTAGTAGAAAACGCTGTATTTGGTTTTCCTACCTCCCATTGTGGGGCTATCGCCCTGGAAGAAGACACTGTATCTGGTTTACCTACCTCCCCTTGTTGGGCTATCGCCCTGGTAGAAGACACTGTATCTGGTTTACCTACTTCCCATTGTGGGGCTATCGCCCTGGAAGAAGACACTGTATCTGGTTTACCTACCTCCCATTGTGGATCCATTGCCGTAGTAGAAGACACGGTTTCTGGTTTACCTACCTCCCATTGTGGGGCTATCCCCCTGGTAGAAGACACTGTATCTGGTTTACCTACCCCCCATTGTTGGGCTATTGCCCTAGTAGAAGACGCTGTATTTGGTTTACCTACCTCCCATTGTGGGGCTATCGCCCTAGTAGAAGACACTGTATTTGGTTTATCTACCTCCCATTGTGGATCTATTGCCATGGTGGAAGACACTGTTTTTGGTTCACCTACCTCCCATTGTTGGGCTATCGCCCTGGTAGAAGACACTGTATCTGGTTTACCTTCCTCCCATTGTGGGGCTATCGCCCTAGTAGAAGACACTGTATTTGGTTTACCTACCTCCCATTGTGGGGCTATCGCCCTAGTAGAAGACACTGTATTTGGTTCACCTACCTCCCATTGTGGGGCTATCGCCCTGGTAGAAGACACTGTATTTGGTTTACCTACCTCCCATTGTGGGGCTATCGCCCTAGTAGAAGACACTGTATTTGGTTCACCTACCTCCCATTGTTGGGCTATCGCCCTGGTAGAAGACACTGTATCTGGTTTACCTACCTCCCATTGTGGGGCTATCGCCCTAGTAGAAGACACTGTATTTGGTTTACCTACCTCCCATTGTGGGGCTTTTACCCTGGTAGAAGACACTGTGTATCTGGTGTATTGTGGTAGTGATGAGCTGGACCACAGTACACACCTGATCTTTTACACCTTCTGTCTGGTTTGGATGGAACAACTGCTGCACTGCTGTCTGGAACATCACAAGGGGCACAAAGGGCTGTCAAAATTTCCATGGAAACCTTTCAATACTTACTCATATACCAGTTTTTCCCTCAATTATTCTTCAAACTAATCTGCAACTCAACAGTTTATGCAGCATCATTTTTGTGTTTGTTACTAAAATAGGGGCAGGCTGTTACCACAAGTGGCTCAGAGGGCCTGTATCGTCATCCTGGATTTTTAAGCAAGCACAATCATGGCAAAATATTCTCATTAAATGTGTGAAAGTTTGGCCCTTTAGGAAAATTTTATCCCACAAAATGAAAAGCATTACCGTGCGAGCGAGGAGGAACTCGTTGAAAACCTGTCTTGGTGTGCTATCTTCAAGCAGGATAATACTACACAGACATTCCGCTATCTTCTACAAAAGCAAAACAAATCATTATCTTATATTACAGACAGAAAGTGACAGGTAAAACCCGTTTACTAATGGCTACTGTTTAGATTTGATTTGAATTTGTTTCATTTTTATTAGAAAGTTAAACACTTGCTTTTAGATCTTTTTGGCAATATTGCTAAAACCTTCAAGTTCTTTATATGCTTATTTCTATATTGACAGAAAAAACTGTAAATTTCAAATACTTGTTTAGACTTTACCTGGTCTGTAATGGCAGACTCCTTTAACATCACACGGCTCCCCTGTAATCGTGAACATTTACATATAGTCAGTTTCAGGAGTTCTTACTGTGACACAAATATATATATATATATATAAAGTGAGTTTATGGAGCTTCCTTACTGTGACAGACATATTGTCAGTATAGAGAGCTTCCTTACTGTGAAAGATATATTGTCAGTATAGGGAGCTTCCTTACTGTGACACAGACATATCGTCAGTATAAGGAGCTTCCTTACTTTGACAGACATATTGTCAGTATAGAGAGCTTCCTTACTGTGACACAGACATATCGTCAGTATAAGGAGCTTCCTTACTGTGACAGACATATTGTTAGTAAATGGAGCTTCTTTACTGTGACAGACATATTGTCAGTATAGAGAGCTTCCTTACTGTGACAGATATATTGTCAGTATAGGGAGCTTCCTTACTGTGACACAGACATATTGTCATTATAAGGAGCTTCCTTACTGTTGACAGACATTGTCAGTATAAGGAGCTTCCTTACTGTGACACAGACATATCGTCAGTATAAGGAGCTTCCTTACTGTGACACAGACGTATTATCAGTATAAGAAGCTTCCTTACTGTCGACAGACATAGTCAGTATAAGAAGTTTCCTTACTGTCGACAGACAGTCAGTATAAAAAGCTTCCTTACTGTGACAGACATATTGTCAGTATAAGGAGCTTCCTTACTGTGACACAGACGTATTATCAGTATAAGAAGCTTCCTTACTGTCGACAGACATAGTCAGTATAAGAAGCTTCCTAACTGCGACAGACGTATTGTCATTATAAGGAGCTTCCTTACAGTTGACAGACATTGTCAGTATAAGGAGCTTCCTTATTGTGACACAGACATATCGTCAGTATAAGGAGCTTCCTTACTGTGACACAGACATATTATCAGTATAAGAAGATTCCTTACTGTCGACAGACATAGTCAGTATAAGAAGCTTCCTTACTGTGACAGACATATTGTCAGTATAAGGAGCTTCCTTACTGTGACACAGACATATTATCAGTATAAGAAGATTCCTTACTGTCGACAGACATAGTCAGTATAAGGAGCTCCCTTACTGTGACAGACATATTGTCAGTATAAGGAGCTTCCTTACTGTGACACAGACGTATTATCAGTATAAGAAGCTTCCTTACTGTCGACAGACATAGTCAGTATAAGAAGCTTCCTTACTGTGACAGTCATATTGTCAGTATAAGGAGCTTCCTTACTGTCGATAGACATATTGTCAGTATAAGAAGCTTCCTTACTGTCGACAGACATAGTCAGTATAAGAAGCTTCCTTACTGTGACAGTCATATTGTCAGTATAAGGAGCTTCCTTACTGTGACACAGACATATTGTCAGCATAAGAAGCTTCCTTACTGTCGACAGACAAAGTCAGTATAAGAAGCTTCCTTACTGTGACAGACATATTGTCAGTATAAGAAGCTTCCTTACTGTCGCCAGACATAGTCAGTATAAGGAGCTCCCTTACTGTGACAGACATATTGTAAGTATAAGGAGCTTCCTTACTGTTGACAGACACATTGTCAGTATAAGAAGCTTCCTTACTGGGACATACATATTGTCAGTATAAGAAGCTTCCTTGCTGTCGACAGACATAGTCAGTATAAGGAGCTTCATTACTGTGACAGACATATTGTCAGTATAAGGAGCTTCCTTACTGTTGACAGACATATTGTCAGTATAAGTTATACAATTATACGAAAGCGTACATTTGAAAACATCCATTTGCATTGTTAGGGCTTCTAGACATTTACTGCGGTATTTATAGAGTATCTCACTGTATTTTCAGGGTTTGTCTTGAGAACAATTTTCTCATCTTGAGCACGTGGATAAAATCGAGAGAGGCTTTTCCATATGCACATTTGCACCTGAAATGGTCTGGCGCAAGAAGACGTTCTTTTTTGAGAGAAAATATGTTCCCAAGTGCTGGGGAATGGGAAAATTCGTTCTCAAGTTCTTCTCAAGTTCTTCTTATACTGACAACCAATGATAATGAATTTATCATGCTACCGGTAGGTGGTATAAAGTAGTATACAGATGTTAATACCATATACCAACTGCGTTTTAATGAGGGATAATATTTTACTTGGAAGGTTTTTACTTAGTGAGTAGTGATTATGAGTGGTTAGACATCATGTACTCCTGTCAAATCATGTAGCTACCATCCCTAGAATAACAGGTAGCATAGTGCCTGATGTTAAAATAGAGTGTTCAACTTTTAGCTGATCTGAAATTAACCAGAGCTTTTACATGATGAAGTCCATTGTTACCTTTTCAGGAACAAAACATTTATAATGAGATCATAATTATCTTGAGTAAAACTAAAACTCAACTTGATGAAAAATAGGTTTGTAAATCAATAACTGCTATTACTTGTTCAACAAAACATTGTTGATATTTAGTCCTGTATGGTGGCCCTGAAATGACTCACACATTGCATGGTGGCCCTACATTACAAACCTGAAGTATGGTGGCTCTAAAATGACTGATGGCAGCCCACTGGCGACTGAGGACTGGGAATCTGTGTAGGAGGTCAGGAGACTGCTGAGAGTCCAGCTGGAGACTGGTGTGGATGTGTCGGGACAGTAGGTAATGTCTGGATGCTGTTAGGTAATCATAGCGGTCCAGGGCACTCCAGATCTATCAATATAATCAAACATATTTATACAATATGTAGAGGATATTTAATGGTGTCTTCAGTAATAACAAATATATTTCACTTGTGTGGTTAATATTTTTATATTTTTAACGAGTGCACAGAAAAATATAAAAATATTAGCCACACTCGTGAATTATATTTGTTATTACTGAAGACACCATTAAATTTTCTATTTATTACATTTTTAAGCATAAAGCATGAAAAATGTAATGCATTAAAACGGGCGGGAATCAGAAGCGTAATAATAAGCGCCATATTCTAATGACGTCATTCTTGACAACAAGGCTGCTTGCCATTTTGAATGGGATGCTCCGACGTTTTCTGCTATTTTCTGGTATGATTGCTTATACATTTTTTATTAATTATATATTTATGTGAATACTTAAGTGTGTGTACCAAACATTTACCATAACAACAACTTATTCTACCGTCGCTTCATTTGAATCTGAACAAAAAATTGTTGCCTTTGAATGCAGCGAATAGAAGATACCATTATGAATGGTCAATACCAAAAAGTGATATTTTCACACTGTGAAAATATCACTTTTGATATTTGTCACAGTGTGAAAGATATCAGTTTTACTGAAGACACCAGTAAGATATCAGTTTTATCAAGTTGATAGAATCCGATATTTCACTGGCAAAAATGCAATAAATAAACATACCAAAGTACCAGTAGTAATTCCAATACTTTGATATTATTTCCATGTACGAATTTTTCCTCTATATAAACAAAGACCAAGATGCCCCTACATTAGCTACTTCAAGCTAACAACGGTTTCGACGAAGAGGTAAACAGAGGTAAAAGAGGTAAAGTAAAATAAATATGTTTATTGCGATATGGTCAAACCTTGAACCCTGCTTATTATAATATTTTTTGGCAGTGAATAATTTTGTTTTAGCTAAGCTCATGTAAGTTGTCCATTTGCGACACCTGGGCATACCTTCCTGACAGCATGGATGTCATTATATGTTTTTCTCTGGCAAATAGAATATCATAATAAGGGTGTTCCACTGTAGTTTAATCACATGGTTTTACACTATCACTGACCTTTTCTGGCATATCCAATAGCATTTTGATCTGCATTGCAATGCTGTGGAATTTCAGCTCCTGTTTCCTCCTATAGAATGAAACAAAACATAATTTTAAGGAATACTCAGTAAAGGTATTTGTCAGGTTACTTCAGATTAACATAGTATAATATTGTCTCACAAAATACTGTTTAGCACTGACATATTTCAGGGAAGTTTTATTCAATAACGTATTAGGTCTGAAACAAATGTGCAAAATATAAACTACATGTGAATTCATTATCATCTTGAAAGACCTACATGTAATTGGAAACTAATGATTATCAATGATTAAAATTTAAATACATTATATCAGTTCCAGTAAAAAATATGCAGAATGTTGATTTTGTGAAGTAAAAGTGTGATGTAATATAATTTTTCTATAATCAAATGAGAGTGATGGTCTTACTTTTGATCAAGCTCCTTGTTGGATCTATTGTGGAAGGAGGTGCCTCGTACCATGTGGCTCTGGTTCAGTTCCTTACACATTTCATCTATACGGGTAATAGACTTCATCACCTATTAACATGTACACTATATAATTAGCAATACACAAGACAGTACTTCACATACAAATCCATATGTTGGCTGTTATTAACATGATCCAAGATCAGTTTTGATTTTTGACGGTTTTGTGTCCGTTATTACAGCCTTTCTGCTTTCAGCAGACCAGCAAATCACTGAAACAAATGCATTCCATGTAATGGAAATTTTGATGGCACATGTACAAGCAAGTGAGACTTAGATATGAAAATTAATGTTGATATTAATACAAACAAGATTGAAACACACTGCCAATATCCCCCACAGCTAAACTGTGAACTTAATTTTTTGAGACATTCAAGAATTTATGATCATTAACCACCTAATGAGTGATAATTATTTATGTGGCACTCCGCCTTCCCAAGATATGTATACCAGCATACAAACTTTGACAATTGCAAGCGATGATAATGTTAGATATATGCTTTGGACAACACCTCAGACAGACAATGGGCAATACCACATTCCCTGTCGATGTTGCAGTGGGGGATAACTAGCAAATCAAAGCATCAGATAAAAATTCAAAATTAAAACTAGAAATATGTTAAAATGACATGAAAGTCACCCCATCTCCTGTATGATTATTTCAGTATAATAAATCATTGACCAAGCTACAAGTGACATATTTCCACCTGTCAATCAAAATGGTCTAACAATGACCAGGTATGCATTACACGCTGTTTAGGTAACCATGCCAACCTACTAGGATATAATAAGAAAGCATGTGGTTGATTTACTTGAAGAAAATGTTCCATGTTTTATGACCATAAAACACAAACACTGCAAATAATTTCATTTTTTTTTAATTTCTGTGACATTCCCTGGCCTGCTTCATCCCAATATCAAGGCCTTCCACATTCAAACATGCCAAAGTGCCTGGATAAGATTGTTCATCTGTTAAAATGGAAAAAAAATGATATAAGAGAACTGAACATGTATATTGGAGCAAATCATTTTCACCAAAACTAAAGGCTGATAATTAAGGAATTTCCAATCCCTATCACTAGTTTGTACTGGTATTGTTTTCGTGGTTATTTAACTCCATATTATCAGTTGATACTTCTCAGTAAAAATTATTTGTTTGTAAAACTGTCAATATCGTCTAGTCATTGGTTTCGGCCCGTTATATATTTCCGCGCAGCCATTTTATCAAGCTTTATCTCGTTACTATGTGACCTGCTGGACACAACACAAAGATATTTTAGACGTTTGGCCATCGTCTGTAAACTGACACAAAAATTACCGGAACTTCGTCCGGAAAACACAAGAATTAATCACCGATTAAAAAACATGCATTTTATCTTGCTCAAAATGAATATGTTTTGCCGGTACCTCGAGGTCACCACTGCCACCACACCGCAGAAACGATAACATTAAACGGTGTCGAGCGCTTTTTTTATAAATTCTGAATATGGCAATGTTCTACGTACCTTACATGACCCTGCACTCTTCCGGTTTTCCATTTCAAGTTCTGCCGTAACGTGTTATGTTGTAAAGTGTCCTAAAGTTGTAAACGTTGTCAGGCGGGATATGAATGTTGATGAAATATTTGTTTGAATGATGGCGCATTTATTTATAACATATCACCATTTATAATGTGACGGCTGAAAATGGTATGTAAATTAAAACTAGAATTATGTCAGTCTGACATTTAAGCCGCTCACCACTTTAAATTGAATTGCTTCAGTAAGACGTTGAGCATCAATATCTTCTATAATACCTCAGATATGTGTTCTGTATTCTGCTAATTGAAAATCGGGTCATGTGATGATGATGCCTTTGGGATTTCCAAAATCAATCACCTCTTAAATGATGCCTTAAAACATTTCTCCCTCTCCTCTTTTTTCACCCTCTTTCAGTGTGACGCATTGTTGTAATTTTCATTAACTAGCATCCTCCATTGATGTGACATGAGCATTTATGTGCAGAATGCCAATCGGTGAATGTATAATAAAGAATAGGTGCATTTTGTGATTGTGAAATGAAGAATTAACAGAATGGGGGAAAAATACATGGAGAAAAGAGACATTGTACTCCTTTTATTTTTATTTATTATTTATTCATATGAATAATAATTATTAATATATGTAGTGACTTTATTTACTGTCATTGAATATACAAAATCTCAAAAATGTTCTTGGAATATATTTGAATTATATTTCTCAATGCGACTTTATATATTAATTACTAACGTAAGAGTTATTTCCCTTACACCGGATTGGATAATATTTTGACACAGCGCGAATTCTTGTCAAACAGCAGCGGCAGTTGTGTCATGTTCTTAAATTGTTACACTTTCATAAATAAATACACCAGAAATAGCATGCTGTGTTACAGAAATGTTTGATAAGCATACACAGTTTACATATCGTCTCGTCTCAGTGCCATTAAGCATTACCGTTAACAACCTAAGCACGATATGTCATATTACGTTCCCGTTTGAAACATCAAAATAGAGGTTATACTTCATCACTAATACGGTTTATAAATACATATATTTACTTCTTCCTTCTACAGACAGCGTCGATGCTTGACAGTCTTCACATGTGCTTTCTCGAATCATATGTGTTTCACACACGTAACACTCCTCAGACCTCAATACGAGTTGCTAAAACGCTCAAAGGTAGTGCACGAATTTCACCACCACAACACTCGTAGAATGCACCGGAGATAAACATTTTGTTTTCAGCAATTATTAAAAGTATAGATTATTACTTGGAGAAGAGTATCAGAAGACTTTATGTAACCCACAGGTGAGTGTCAGAGATTCTACTTTCTATTTACGATAACGGAACTATATAGCGGAAGCATGCAAGACTGAATTATGCGCACGCATCCGTAACGGAAGGGGGTCCGTCATTCCGTTCTCTGGACAGAATTAATAAGCTGCTCGGCTCTCGCCAAGAGCGGCTTAAAAATAAAACAATTTCCATAAATGTTGTAAACTTTGTACTTTGGACGAACTTGATTCAGGCGTGCCGTTTACCTCCGGGAAGGCGGCACCTTCCTACTGATTATGAATGTCCCTTAAATCCTGCATGTTCGGCACCTGCCTTTCGATTAGAAGTTTCGCCGGACTGCAGAGAAATGCAAAGCGATACAAAATGTTGTTTGTGTCCGCCAAATTGCGCGTATGCTTTAATGTAGTGTGCCGGCGGCAAACACAAACCCGGCATGTCAAATCAAGTTTGCCCTTTTGCTAGGTGACGATTTCTTTTGTCATTGCATGAATAGATGATAAAGAAAAAGAGACGTTATTGAGCTTTTCTACCTGAACTTTTTATTCCAAAATTTAATTTGGTTTAAAAAGAATTTTTACCAATACAGTCATTGGTCAGACATAAACATCTCAATCAATCAATAGCAATTTATAATATAACAGTCTACCCCTTCGGGGACCTCAAAGGTGACTGATTCATATTCAGAACATCTTTAGTTTGAAATTCGGAACGCCTTTTGGTTGTATGTTAGATCTATTCCTAAAATCGATATCGGAGTTATCCAAAAGCTTGTAAGTAGCGACAGAAGCAAACACACGAAAGCTGAAACAGTGGAGGTCAAAATCTGGGACTGAAACCAAAATTAATAGTCCCCACTGGGGTTCCCCCAGGGGTGACTAAAAATGTCCTTGTCTAACAAAGCTGTCAAAAGTATTGGACCATAGGGAGAGTTTCCTTTTTCTTTATATATTTTTTAAAATTATAAATGAATCATTTTACACACAAAGAAATGCACTGCAAGTTACCCCTACACAAAAGTGTCATGTTGAGGATTTTTCTTTACTATTTGCTTCAGAATTAAAAAAAAACAATCATTTCTTTGAAGTGATTTCTTTAATCTACCTTAATTTCTGTGTAAGTGAAAGTTTTCACTTGTCATATACTAAATCAGCATGGAAGTATGTAGATTTTATTACACACCAAGACACAGATACTTTACCAACAATAACATTGCTACAAAGGATTATAAAAAGAAATTCCACTTTTATAGTATAAGTGCTGGTAATGTATAATACAACATGATTTTAATAAGGATGTCCATGGCTTCACTACTTTCATCACAACGATTTTCAACAGTGACCATACTTTTATAAACAAATGAACAATTTATCTACTGTAGGTGTATATTATAAAAGAGGCGAACCTGGTGAAGCCTTAACTTTAAAGGTGAAATAAAAAGTAGCCACTTACTGGTGATACTTTGAGCATGTTGTGTTTGGAAACTATGTAGTTTATTTTATAACCATATTTTATTTAATCACCCAAATGTCCGTACTCCAAGTACCTCAGTGATCAACTTATAAACTTTGTAGTATATTGGGTCTTTGGTTTGTTTGTGTTTTACGTCCAATTAACAGCTTTAGTCATTTAAGGTCGTGTCAGGTTTTGGTGGTGGAGGAAAGCCAGAGTTCCCAGAGAAAAAGCACCGACCTACGGTCAGTCCCTGGTAACTGCCTCACGCAGGCCTCGAACCCTCGACCCAGTGGTGAAGGGCTATTTGTAGCAGAATGTCAGACGCCTTAACCACTTGGCTACCGCGGCCCCTTATATTGGGTCTAATTTAGTGTTTAATTCCACTTCTACATCTATAATACCTTAAATAATATGAGTATTCAGGTTTTCAAAAAATCTTGGAGGATAAAATGATTCCTACAACCTACATTTTGTGCACTGTTCTTCATTTCTGTAATGGTATCTGCAGCCTCTATCAGATCTCGGTATCTTTCACTGAAAATAACCAAGAATATGTATAATACACCATTCACCTTCCAATTAAAAATCATGTCCACAAAACCAGAAAATATGTAAAATCTCTGATTTTCCAGATTTCTGTTCCGTTTTTTTGTGTATATATATTTATTAAGGACTTCCCAGCCTTCGTAATACACATGTTTTTCTTGTCATTTGTTTGTGTCGTCATTTCCGTATTGCGTATCGGGCATTTCAATGCCATAGTGTAAATTATAGTAACACCGGGTAAACAATAGTACATAATGTATGTAAACACCCGATATCGAGAAATGTGTAATCACACGTACTTCAAAAATAAAGATTCCGATACAAAGAAATAAACTGACTCATGGAAAGTTACTGACATGACATGAGACCAGACGACTTCAAGAAGGTCATATATGAAACGCTTTTACGCGCTTACACCAGTTCACAAGCTCGAGGTCGTTACGATTGTCGCTGTAGGCGAGTTACGCTGTCAATTATGCTCTGTCGAGTAAATCGTTTTTATAAATGCAGTACACTGACTCTGTTGAAATATTGTTTTGTAAAAGTATTAAGATCTCTATGAAAAATGTATGTGTAAGTGCACGTGAGATCGGCGTACTTTGCGAAAGACTCTGATTACAGGTACATATGTACCTAACATGTAAATATACCATGCGCTAGCTAGCAGGCTGTGGAATGATGTTGCAACTTTGTACATGATTGAGGGTAATTTAATTGGTTCCATAAAATAACAATAGATTGCCACTTTTAATATCATAATTTTAATTCATTTCCATAATTTTTGATAGTTTTATAAGAGATAAATGTCATTGTGTAAATTGTATCACTATGCAAAAAGTTCTGATTTCTTTCAAGGAAGACAACTCTGACCGCGACCAAAGTGATTGTATAAAGTAAAATTAATTAATTAACAAGAGGCCCAAGGGCCTTAGCGGTCACCTGAGTTATATCATAGGTACTGGTAGCTTTATTTTATAGTTTAGATGTGATGTGGAAATCAGCATGTAAACTAAGTGAAATACAATACTTGTCATGTCATCAAAGGATAAGAATTTTAAAATATTTGTAAATGTTCCTTTTGGGGGCCCCGCCCTAACCCCTGGGGATGGGGCAGGAATCCCAAGTTTACAATGTGATACCGTCGTCCACCAAAGATGATTCTGACCAAGTAAAAATAATTTCCAACAGAAAATTGTAAAAATATACCCAAAAGTGTTGTTTCCCTATATAAACTATAGTAAACTTTTCCCCCTCCCCAAGGGAGAACAGATAGCTTGGGGGCCCTGAAATTTACAATTTAAATAAAGCCCCTGATGATCTTTCCAGCCATGCAGAGAAAATGACTGTAATACCTCTGAGTCTGGACAAGAAGATTTTTGAAATATTTGTTAATTTTCCCTTTGGGGCCCCACCTTGGCCCCTAGGGTTCGGGTATGCATTCCAATTTTACAATTTAAAACCATCTTCCTTCAAGGATAATTCTCACCAAGTAAGAATAATTTCCAACAGAAAATTGTCAAAATATACCCAAAAGTGTTGTTTCCCTATATAAACTATAGTAAACTTTACCCCCTCCCCAAGGGAGAACGGATAGCTCGGGGGTCCTGAAATTTACAATTTAAATAAAGCCCCTGATGATCTTTCCATCCATGCAGAGAAAATGACTGTACTACCTCTGAGTCTGGAGAAGAAGATTTTTGAAATATTGGTTAATTTTCCCTTTTGGGCCCTGCCCTGGCCCCTAAGGTTGGGGTAGGAATCCCAATTTCCATCCACTGGTTCTTGAGAAGAAGTTGATAATTTAAAAAGTTTACGCACGACGGACGACGACGGACAGAAAGTGATCGGATTATGTTACTTGAGCAAAGCTCAGGTGACCTAAAAAGCCATTGTGTATATTGTTCAATTTTCCACTTTTTTTGTATGAAAGTTTGTGGCTTGTTTGCTTTTAGCTAGGTAATCACTTTTATCCATACAGTTTCAATAAAATATACTTAATGAAACGTGTTTTAAATTTGTTGTGATATATAAAATATTTGTAGGGTTCTTTACATATTTTATTGTTGTTATTGTTCTGAACAATACCACACGCCAAAAAAATGGAAAATATTAAAATTGATGAAAACTCAATTTTTTGGGTATTTTTTTCCAAAAAAATCACCAGTCAATCAAAATACTTGGATTTTCGTAAAATCACCTCTACATAGTTGCATAACCATTATGTGAAAGTTTCAACAAATTCTGCTGGTTAATTGCGAAAGGGTGGAGCCTCCTTAAAATTATTGGTCCAAGTTTTACACATACCCAACCATCGTCCTCAAATCTTCTTTCTTTCTCTCAATATCACTCCTATTAAATACAAAGATACAAACTAATTCAAAAAGCATGTACATAATTATGTCAGAGAGAAAAAAGCAACATTTTTCAGCTGATCAGGGAACAATACGTATTACACACAACACAGAGGAATGGAATAGGCAAAATGATTTTGACATGATTATAAAGTTACATGCTGAAATGTAATTGTTGCAAAATACCTCAATAATCTGCATATTTTGACATTTAAAATATTTTTTTAGAGAAAAAAATGCACAATATTTTTTTTCTCTAGTATTTAGAAATTGGACTTTATTTGCTTTTTGATCAATTTGATAGATTTTAATGAACCTGGCAGGGTCATGTGACATAATTTATGAAGTGCGACACATTTTTAATAGTTAGGGACATACCTGGTCTTCTTTTCAATTCCTCGGATTTCGTCAACTGTAAACTTTTCAAATAGTAAGTTAGTATTGGTTTCGTGTACAGGTAGAGCTGTAAAAGATAAAAATAATAGTGAGTCAAATAAAGTGGCTTCTTCCATTTATGTATCTTATATACAAATCAGACCAAGATTTGCATTTTTTACAAATCACAATTTGAGCAAGATTGAAGAATATACCCCAATAAAACTTTCCAATGTATTTGGCCTCTTAACGTCGGTTATAGCCCGAGTTTCCTCTTGCCCTAACACCAGACATATAGATATGCATGTCTGGTGTGGGGCCAGAGCGCACTACTATATGAAAATGTGGAATTCTCCAACACCGTTTGGTATCGGGGTGTGACTAATCAACAAAAAAGATGCAGTCCGGAAATCTTCTAAACAAGAATTATATATTCCATTTTCGGCCCAGATCAGTACGGCTTGCTGATTAGTCACTCCCATTAACTATAAAATGGCGTTCTCTCAGGTGGGAAAATTTGAACGATTGAAAAAATGAGGAACCTACTGAAAGAATTTAACAGTTGTTGGTGATAATAAGAGCGGATTTTGATCAATAAATAATCCATTTATCGATATATATATATATGTGAGGTATGTGTTGTGTCATAGTTGATTTCTGTTGTCACCACCTCATAATTATAACTCTACAATACAAAAGGGTGTCGGAGAATTCCACATTTTCATATAAGAGTGCTCTGTGGCCCCACACCAGACATCTTTCTGTCAAAATGTCTAAGTCTGGTGTTAGCTATTGGGCCAGAAGAAACTTTGGCTACATCTGTTAATTTTTAACTTCTGTACTTCTGAATAACACAAAAACTTTAATCACAACAGATCAGTGTCTAGGCCTATTCCAGGTCCAGTACACTCTGGCGATTGAGCTATATAGCTGTAAAGACCTATAATAGCTCCTATCTGAAATAGGTCTTTCGAGCTATTTTCAAGTGATTTTCTTTTTTAAAGAAAACGAAACAAAGTCGCTTTTAAAAAAAGATTGTATCATTAGGTTGATAACAAAAGACATTAAATATAAGTATTCTTTTTATAAAATAATGATGTAAAAAAATCGGAAATTTTACATTTATGAAAAATGAAAATAAATGTATGCTCTTTGTAGTCAACATTACCATAAACCTTATTGTTTTATGCGACTTTGCTTTAATTTAATGAAATTTGAAATCTGAGAAATTATAGCCCAATACAGCTATAATTTATAGGTGTATATAGCAATATAGCTCAATCGGCAGAGTGTACTGGACCTGTATATGTGCGTGTGTTTCTGTGGGTGATAGTAAAATGACATTTTGATAGCCCTTGACAGACTGTAACGATACTCGGTAGGTACAGCTGACTATGGCAAATGTATACAAGCTACATGATGTCACGACAACTTTCTACTACTCTAAATCATTGAAAACCCTTGGTTTAAATAATTGAATAATAATTAAACATGGGTATGTACCAATATTAAATCATTATTATTAGCACACATCACACTAAATTTCTCGACCAGACCTTTGCAATTTATTATCACTGTACTGTACCCACTGATCTTGAGAAGTGAGAATTTTTGATCAACCACCTCTCTCATATAAAAATCATCAAATCACCACTATAATTCCAAAAACGAAAGCATACATAACGGAATGTACCCATGAATATAAACATAATGTCTCATAGTTTTGCGACCATTTGTAAGTACCATTTAAGTATGCATAAATGCTAAAATATAACATTACTTTTTGATGACATGTCGGCTTTCGTTGGAGAAGCCATGTTGGCAAAAATACTAAAGAGTGTCAACAAGGGAAGCTACTCTAACTTTCATGCAATCAGAAATGATTCAGGGGCGTAGCTACATTTATGTGGAAGCCCAAACAAGGGTGCCGTCTATGATCAGAGACGTATATATATATACGTCTCTGTTTACACTATTTACATTGCATAACATTAAATGTTCTAGTAGAATAAAGCACCGAATTTCCCGGGGTGATTTCTCCAGTGCACATTGTAGTCAACTCTTGAAGGTGTTTATTTTTGCTGCTGAAATCACATCTTCCGATATTGAGAGTTCCATTTATTGCATGACCACTCTGTTGTTGAATACATTTTTTGCTGACATTTAGTCTGAATGGTTTCTTGTAGAGCTTTTTGAGTGATCCCTTGTGAAGTGGCTATCCAGTGGAGCAAACATATCATTTGTTCTGACAATGTCAATTCCATTTAGAATCTTATACAGTTCTACATGTACCTTATCCACTCTTTCCTTTCTGTACTCTACTGTAGGGTTGGTAGTCCTAATGTGCGGAGTCTGTCGCTGTAACACATGTCTTTTAGCCGAAGGATTCTCTTGGTTGCTCGTCTTTGGACATTTTCGATTGCTATTTTATCCTTTGACAGCATAGGTGACCATACTGTCTGTAGTGCTGTCTTGTAACGGGCAACAAATGTGCTGTTATCCCTTAATGTGGACGTCATACATATTATTCCTAGTATTCTATTGACTCTGGTCACAGCGATGTTGGTTTTGTCACTAAATTTGAGTTTATCGTCAATTCTTACCCGATGTCTTTTTCTGTTCTTGTTTTGATGATGTTGATTTCCCGACCTTTGTTGACTATTTCATACGATGATGTTTTTTGTTTATGCCCAATATCCATGTGTTTGCATTTCTCTACATTTAGTTCCATTAGCCACGTTTCTGTCCATTTGCATATGTTGTTGATGCTAGTTTGCAGGTTAACTCCATCTTCAGGTTTGGATATTTTACTGTAGAGTTAATTGTCATCTGCAAACATTTCTATCGCACGTACAGTTGACCACATCTGGTATGTGGTTTACATAGATCAGGATCAGAGGGGGCCTAAGACACTCCCTTGGGGGACCCACTGGTGACTGGTATGGGGTTTGACTGTGTCTCGTTAATGACGACTCTCTGTGTTAAGTAATGTAACAGTCTTATTCTAGGGGTCTCTTTTGTATAGAACACTCCAACGCTTTATTTGCTTCCATTGAGATTTATTCCTCATATATTAAAACCCTCTTCATAGACGAAGAGGGTCTAACTCCAGGGAGACAACCCGTACGTGAGTACGTGACCAAGTAGCCAATCACGGACTTAAATAATTCCGTGAGCCAATCTTGCGCATACAATGAATTTAGAATTCTCAGCTCACTAATAAGCATTCAGTCTGCATAATTTCATTACACGTCCGATACGGCCATAAACTTGTACGGGAGTGACAATGCCCAAAAAAACGCGGGTGCGCACTGACCCATGGTCAATCTTACACAAAAATAGATTGACCCATGAACATTGACAAACAGGTTTGCACAGGTGTCATTTGATATAAATCAAAGTGTACATTATATAGATACACTGTATAGTAAAAACACAGCACTTAACACTCTGCTTTTAATGAAGAATCAAGTTTAAAAATAACCAGCTTTACAGGTAAAAGATATTACTGTCATTAAATAATGACACTGCTACATTCTCCCCTCCTTACATGAAAGATGTCCACATCTTTACAGTAGCATTTACTAAAACATTACACTATTACCTAATTATATAATAACAAAAAATTTAATCCAAGTACACTACAAAAAGATTATCTTCATAAAAACGCATTACTTGATTGTAGTCATAAATCAATATAGCTACCATGTCACAAAAATGAATGACATATAATGAAAATTTAACCAACCAAATTTATATACACTCCTCTCCTGCTCTCAGAAGAAGATGACCACATCTTCAGCAAAAACTTCATCATATAAATGAAAAAATACTGATTTCAATGCATGTATAATTCATGAAAAAAAAAAAGTTGTAGCGAACAACAAACAGAGTTCCAGAAATATTTCACTTATGACTTCAAAATATGCAAAAGTGTGTCTCTAGCAACTTCCGACATATTGTGAAAAATATCACCTCTAGTTATATCCAAGAGGAAGGTAGCTTTTCTCTCCCACTCTGCGACCACGGGATGAAAACATGCTTGCTTACAAACAAAATCCCCCGATCGCATCCAGCTCGGCAGTTTCATCTCCCGAGTCGTCCTTCTGGGAGCTGGAGCTGGTGGTTCAACACGGCGTTGATGGGGTGAAACTGGATCAGCGGGCGGCGCTGCCAAATTCACAGGCGGAATTTCAGCTTCCGGTTCTTCTTCACTTGATTCTTCATCACCATCTGACTCCGAATCCAACTCCTCTACAGATGAAGAACCCCTTTCCGGAATGGGTGGCCTTGAGACATAGGTTTCTCCGTCTTCTCCCATGATATCCGAATCATCATCACTGTCACTCGATGAATAGTGATCAGAGACTGACTCTGGAATAGCTAGCTAACTCAAAAGACTGACACATCCTTTCCGCAGGTCTTTAACGTACTCTGGCACCTTGGGTGCTGTACCATTCTCTTCTAACCCAAAAATCAGATCAACAGGCAACCGCGGCTGGCGTCCAAACATCAGCTGGAATGGCGAATAGCCTGTTGAGTCATGACGTGTTGAGTTGTATGCGAAGGTCAATGGTCCCAGGAAACGCTTCCAATCTTTCTTCTGATCCGAGTCTAGTGCCCCCAGCATGTTCATTAGTGTCCTGTTAAAACGTTCACAGGTTCCATTCCCACTGGGATGGTATGGTGAGGTCCTAGACTTCTCAACGTCCAATAACTGACACAAATGTCGAATAACCTCCACACAAAAATTAGCACCCTGGTCTGAATGAAAACGGTGTGGTATTCCATAGTGCTGGATGTAGCTGAGCAGTGCATCCGCCGTCGTCTTAGCCGACATATTACGCGTCGGTATAGCTTGGGCATACCGCGTAAAGTGGTCCGTCACTACTAACACGTAGGAATATCCCCCCTTGCAGGTTTCCAGGGGAAGATAGTCCATGCAGACTAACTCCATGGGCTGTGTCGACACTATGGAAACCAATGGTACTCGCTGCGTTGTTGGTGTCTTCCGTAGCAAACACCGTGAACATTTCTTTATCCAGTTCTAAACATCTTTGGACATTCCCGGCCAGAAGAATCTGTCTCGAATCAATGATATTTTCCGGTCACGTCCAGGATGACCAACATGATTATGCAGATACATGAGAACATTCTCTTTCATTGATGACGGGAGAACCAGCTGACTAGTTATGGAGTCCCCTTGCTGCATACATCTGTACAGCACACCCCGCTTGAGCTTCAGCGTATCCCAAACCCTTGTCATAGTCGCGTTGTCGGGATTAGATGGTACTTCTTTCCTGGTGGGTTTATGGTTACGACGGATAAATGGCAACCAACAGCCAATAACAGGGTCCTGTGCCTGAAGTTGTCTCCAAATCTGCGGAGTCATGGTCTGGACATCCTGTACATCCTCCTCCATTGCATCAACAACATCAGCAGACATGCACACGCTTTCCACCAGAGAATCTCCCACCTCAGTAGTTAACTGGCATACAGCTTGAACACTGTCCAAAGAAACATTCTCTGTGTGCCCTCGAAGGCATTCAATAGCTTCACTGGAAGCCGGTGTGGGTAGTCTTGACAATGCATCCACATCTATGTTATGCTTGCCTGGGCGATACTTGATGTTAAATGTGTGAGCTGACAATGCTGAGAGCCAACGATGTCCTGTTGCATCCAACTTGGCCTTAGTGAGTATGTACGTCAGCGGGTTATTGTCAGTATAAACAGTGAAGGTCCTCCCATACAGATAGTCATGGAACTTCTCTGTTACCATCTTACCATCTGTCTAGTTTACATTGACGACCTGATTATCTTCGCAGAGACCTATGACGAGCATTTGGATCGACTCCAGAAAATATTTCAGCGGTTGAGGGAGAGTCATTTGAAGCTGTCACCCAAGAAATGTGATTTCTTCCGAGATCAAGTCACTTATGTAGGACATGTGGTATCCTCAAGAGGAATTGAGGCAGACCCCTCCAAGATTGAGAAGGTGCGAGATTGGCCTGTGCCGACCAATGCTGATCAACTCCGACAATTTCTTGGTTTTGCCTAGTCTATAGTCCCAACATTATTATACACCTATTATATAGCCCTAACATAAATATACACCTAATATACAGCCTTTATATAATTATACACCTAATATATAGCCCTGACAAAATTATAAACCTAATATATAGCCCTGACAAAATTATAAACCTAATATATAGCACTTACATCTGTACAGATCTAATATATAACACTCACATAATCATACACCTTACATATAGTTCTAACATAATTATACACTTAATATACAGCCCTAACATAATTATACACCTAATATACAACTCTAACATAATTATACGCTTAAAAAATAGCCCTAAGATAATTATACATGTAATATATAACCCTAATATAATTACACACCTAATATATAACCCTAACATAATTATTCGCCTTAAATATAGCCCTAAGGTAATTATACTCCTAATATACAGCACTAACATAATTATATCCCTAATATACAGCCCTATCATAAGTATACACCTAATATATAGCCCTAACACAATTATACATCTAATATATAGCCCTAACACAATTATACACATAATATACAGCCATAACATAACTATACGCCTAAAATATAGCCCTAATATAATTATACACCTAATATATAACCCTAACATAATTATACTCCTAATATACAGCCCTTATATAAGTATACACCTAATATATAGCCCTAACATAATTATACACCTAATATATAGCCCTCACATAAGTATACACCTAGCATATAGTCCCAACATAATTATACACCTAATACATAGTCTTCACAT